TAATCAAGTAACTGGCAGGAACCGATAAGAACCAGTACAACATTAAAATACAAGCTAAGCAAGTAGATAAGAAAAGAGTTCTTCTGGAGGACAGACAAGTTAAGGGGATCAAGTACTGCAAAAACCCACCAGAGACTACCAGAGGACCACCAACTTGTTTAACAGCGCATGTGTCATGGACATTTGAGTATGTTAAACATTTCTTGGAAATGTCATGAATATGCTAACAATTGCAATGAACATGAATGTATGTACTCTATATAATTCAGATGCTGGTAACATGAGGCACGCATGTTAGAAGATATCCCCCATGCGTCTGGCGCTGTAATAAAGATGTCTGCTTAACAACACTTTAATGTTATTAAGTTTGAATTTCTTAAATTTGAATTGCTTTGAATCACAGCTATTCAACACACGAAATTGTCAAGATTTCTTTTAAATGCTGTTGTTGCATTTTGAGTTATACTTGCTTAAAAGTCTGTTGAAAATAGAATCTAATTTATGATGTCAAATTAAATTTAAATTAAGTTAAATTTCAAGAATTAATTTATAACGTCAAATTACACTTAACCAAAAACATTTTGAAGACAACCCCCCCCCCCATTAAACCACCTGCATTTGATTTTTTTTTAAAGAATAATTACACATTTCTTTAAAGGCTTTACTTTCATCTGGAAGTTTAGACAAATCCATATTTTATTCAGAGTCTCTGCTTGGTGACTACACAGAGATCACCATGCCATGGTGGCATGTTTTCTTCTCTGCCTGGATTATGTAATTAATGAAGTTTGTTATGAGGAGTCAGGTGTAATACCTCATCGGAAAGCATTGAGACAATGCTTTTGACAAACAAGCTGCCTATGAGGGGCACCCACTCACATAATCCTGTTTGTGAAGTTTTTGTTTTCATTGTTTCTGCTTTGTTATGCAGTATTTGACAAAGTCATTGTTATTCGAGTAAAAAAAAGAAGAAAAATTAGGAAACTGTCCATGAAACCTCTTACTGCTGAGATAGTATAGTAGATGCCCAGGAGAGATTACGGAGCTTGGAAATGAGCAGGCAGCTATTTGCATTGGGATGAAATCATGTGTACTGAGGAGCAGAATAAATCAGGGCACACATGTCTCTCTGAAACTGTAGTAGCTAGCTTAAGGTGCTTCCTTCACAATAGTGCAATACTAACCTCTGCTTCGTTTACTCTGAAAAAAAAGTTAGAAGTGCTAGCACCTCCGACTGCCACAAAACTAGAGCAATGGCCCCGTAGAATATGTATGAGGCTATCATGCTCTCTCCAGATCCCATGGGCAGAGATGCAGAAGGGAGTAGCTAACGCTGTGATGGCAGTAATTACCACCACAGTAGAAGGCCTCCAGCTCACACTGCAGACTACAGCAAGTCTAAGCACAGTGCCAAGCAGTTTGCAATTAAATGAAACAAAACAGCAAAGGAAAGGTTTTTTCCCCTCCTCCCTCTGAAAATCCCCTAAGTGTTAGGCACTTCCCCTATCAAAGACAGGGCTTCCTGTTCCTGGTTAAGCTGAGTTACTGCTGAAGTGATGGGACAAACCCCTCTTCCTCAGCACCAACATTTCACAGTGGCAGTAAGCAGCATCGTTTTCATTTATATTTCATGAGAAAATAAAATTATAAACAAACTTTAAATTATATTATTTTTTCCTGTTAAGAATAGAAGGGTATTAAAAGAAATAAATCTTGGAATGTTTTGACATTTTCAGGGAACTATTTTTATTAAAGCAATGTAGGTACACAACAAAAAGAAGTGCTCAATTTCACAGTGCACAAAGAAAGTGGGCTGGCTGATCTCTCTGGCATAAATCAGAAATAGCATCATTTTAAAATAATGGCATTACACCATTATAAAAACTAGCAAGAGCTAAGTTCAAAGACTATAACAGAAGACTCTGCTTCTCCTATAACAAAGGAAAATGCTATTATTTAAAAAAAAGAAGACTTTTTTCCCTCTGAGATATCTTACATTGGCAAAAAACACACCACAAACCCCAAGTAAACAAAACTTTTGCATTTCTTTTAAACATTCAGGAAAAAGGCTGAAGCTAGATGTTTGATTAGTATTTGTCTGGACATGTGTAGAGGTATTATTATGCCAGTAAGAGCTTATCTGCCTGTATGAGTTTTCATTTATCTTTTGTTCAAGTACATTTCTACACGTAACCCTCTCCTACATTCATGGTAATGTGAATACAAAACAGGTAATTATTGTACCTATTTTTCATTCTTTTAATATCTACAGCTACAGCACTGGTAAAAACAATGGTTTGCAAACTTACAATAAAAAATTAGGAAACATTAAATAATCTGTAGCACACTAGCAGCCCATGACAGTCACTCAGTTATGGCTAAATGCTAGCATGCTGTTTAATTAAGACAGGATGGATCTGCTTTTCAGATTAGAAGGGAATAAAATAAGGTGAAATACTTAATATCTGGCTCTATTCAAATTCAGAGTTACTTTGTATAGGTTAGTTTAATCTCAGGCTCAAAACAGTATTCACCATGCAGAGAACTAAGTAAGGAGAATTGCATGACAGTTAAGCAAATACATTGGCCTAACTAACTTCTGCTCACCAAAGGAAGCACTGTCATGATTGTGTGGCAAAAGCGTCTCAGATGTGGCTAGTGATTCTGGCTTGTGGGAAAAGGAGGTGCTTTCAATGGTACTGTGCAAACACAAATGTTCCTTCCTGGACCCCATCAAGTTCCAGACCCCGCTGTTTCATAATGTTTGCAAAGCTGCCTCATCCAACTATCTGGATAACTGCTGCTGGAGTTCATTACCAGTGTCAGTTGGCAACTCCCCGTTCTCACTCCAAATATATTTCTCGTCACAAGGCAGTTGAAACATGACCTAGCATTTCTGCATTTTTTTCACCATTTCCCCAGTGTATCTAACTAACTGTCTTTAGGGTTTAATTTGGGTATTAACTGATTGAGTTTCCAGTTTACAGCATAACACCACTTATGGCATGTCGGTTGTGCCATCACCACTGATGCACTAATTAAGGTAAAGATTAATGAAGGCAAATATTCTTTATAGATATTCTTTTCAATATTACAAGTTAGGCTGGACAGATCCTACTTTGTTTTGTTACCACAACTTCTACTTAGTGCAAAGATCAAAACAGAGCCCAAAAAGCCTGAAGAGATTAAGCATGCTGGGTGTGAACTCTTGCACAAAGAGTTTAACTGTTGAGCAATAGAAAGCATTTCTTCTAATGTGGGTGTATATATTCAGTGCAGACATCCTAGCAACTGGAGGATTGTGTGGAGACACCCAAACTTGCTTCAGGAGATGCACAAATTAATTTTCAGAATGGTGACTTTGATATTCATGATGTCTGGCTGCAGAAGTTTACCTTGGTGAGAACTAAACAGAGAATATTCTTTGCAAACTCGACTCTAGCTCAGCAATACAGCTCTTGCTAACGCTTTTCACTGTCAAAAGCAGACCTTTAGACACTACCAGGCTGCACACTGGAGGTGACACATGCTATTCTTTATTGGGGCCAGACAATGAACAGGAAAGTTAAAATTAAAAAAAAGAAAGTGTCATTACTCAAGTTCATTTACATTTACACTTTAAACTGTACAAAAACTACTTCCCGTATAGAAATATCTTCATAAAAAGCCTAAAAACTGAAGAAAAAAATACTTTCACATCTATCTTTGTTACACAGAAAGGACAGAATTTTATTATTCTGGTGCTGAGAGCGCAAATAAACTCCCCTCAGGAGTCTGAGTATCACAAATTCAGGGCACAGCCCAGGAATAACTCCTCCAAAACTTCTAACGAGGCTCCATCTAAACTGGCTTACTTACTCATTCCCCTGCTGACACCACATTGCAAGTTGTTATCATAAGGTAAGATGCCATTTCCTCTTTTTGCTTTCTGTAGAAGCTGAGACCCAAATCCAGGTGTCACCAACTGGCTTTCCAGTTTCCTGTGAAGGTGTGGAGCATCTCCCCCAGGAAAAATTAGTCTGCAGCCTAGCAGTTCTGAGTTGTACTGAACCACAAGTCCTGCCCTTCCCTTCTCCCCTCCTCAGTGGGGTCAGGTGAGTGGGTGGGAGAGCTGGTCCTTTGCTAATCCCTGCTTCACTCTGTGATTCCTTACTGATAGTCACATATTTGCTACGATGCAATTCAGTACCTAGCTACTGTTTTAGGGATCAGAAAAGTCCCTCAAAATAGCATCAACTACTATTGTAAGAAGCATTCTGCTTTACTTCCATGCCCTCACTAACACAATGGTCACAGGAAAGCTAGTATTTATATACATATAATACTGCGATACACCCATTTTGAATTATTGCTAGTAAGCTATTACCAATATCACTGCTCACTATGCCGCACAAACATGTTGTAGCACATTCTTTTGATATTAATTTCTTCTTGGAGACTGAGATGTGCCAGACCACTACGAAATTATGGCAATTGCGCAGTAGCATGCTACTGAACACTGTGGTCTCCTTGAAACAACCAGAACAGAACAGATTTAAGAAAAGAAATGACATAGCCTGGAGTCCTTGTTCATGGTGAAAATGTACACAGAGTAACACTTTACTTTCTCAGATGCTCAGATGACTCAGATGAACAGCAGAAACCACCCAGCACAAACATTTACCAAAACTGTTAAAAAAAATAACCATCTACTAGGGAAAAAACCACACATGAGAAAAGATATATACATATGCACCAAGTCAATGAGAGCTGTTAGGGAGTTTTTCTGGACATTTTAGAAAAATTTTCAAAGGGCAATGTAATTAGATTAGTAAATACACTGTAGAACATCCTGCAGGTGTTTTATCTTGTAATGGCTAGTAAGATTAAATCATCAGCCTAATGCACAGTCTTTAACAGTTTAAAAATATTTTTAGTTTCTATTTCTGTAAAAAAAATCTAAATCATAATTATTTTTTTAAATGAATCTTAAGAATTTAAAAAAATACATTATTTCTTACCTATAAATGGTATGGGGAACATACACTTCTCTAATTGGGAATTCCAAAATCTCTTTGTGAGGACGATTACGGTTTTCTGGAAATGGCTTAACTGGTAGTAATTCTGGTGTCAGACAATAACCAAGGCTTTCTGGAGCTGGTGAAATCTCCAGTTTAAGTGTTCCTTTAAAAAAATAATCAAAAAATTCCAGCAAAAATATTTAAAAAACCCAATGTATAATAAAACAAAAATGAAAACAGTATGTAAGGTTACATAGCAACAGTACAGAAATAAGAACTGGATCTTTGGCTTGAAAGTTACATGAGAATGAAAGCATAGGTGTAGAAAGATACACAGGAAGTAACCTACACACATCCCTACACATCAGGCCAATATATAGCTCTTTATGCCTACCCTGTACAATTTCAAAGAAACAGAAAAGAAAGAATACTATATGATGTGTTGATGTTCTAGTATCTTTCACACACAAATAATATAAAATTTGTCTAGGAGACAAATAAAGAATAAAAGGTCTGCTGTCTAATACAGCGCTCTCTCACTCCTCCCGCTCAGATTCTGCTCTGATTAATCTCCGCCAAGGTAGACACCACACACCAGGAAAGCCAGGCTTGCTGTGGTGAGCAGTTAAACAGTTAATACTGATCACATTTACCCAAGCATAACTAGACTTTCAATTTAAATTCTCTGTTGTGATAAGTGAAAACCGTTTGGGGAACTCAGACTTGTCATTTCTGGCAATCGGCTAAAAAGGCAAAACAGCTTTGCACTCAGTTCATATTTTTAAAGGTTCCTCCACAACCCAGAAGACCTTGAGCTGCAGTTTATGTAGAAAGAAAAAAATAAGGTGTTCAGGTTTTTGACAGTAGCGAAACACTCTCTGCTTCTCTACTTTGTTAACTATCACTGACCCAAGTACCCAAATAAGATGAAATGTGTACACATTTTAATCTCCCTCTGTAAAATATGACCCATTTAAAAACACTGCAGGGAAATAGCAATCTTAGAAACTTGCTTTAAAGCACTGTCTTCAAATTTGTTATTGAATAATAACAAAACACATCCAGTAGATACACTGTAAATTGGAGAAGAAAGCAAATCACTTTAGAATATCAAGCTAAATATAAATCTCCATACTCACTCATACAGAAAAAAACACAAAAGCATCTGTGCTCGGGTAGACACTGGGAACACAAGAAGTTCCACAGTAGCACATACATATAGGCTTAAAACCCAGGTTAATTACATTTTGATGTTGGAATTTACAGAACAATTCAGGGGAGAAAAGTACATATATCCTTTTCCATCCAAATTTAATTATGTACCTGGTAAAGTCTTAATTCTTCTCTGCAAGGAAGACGATCTTTTGAAATCAGCTAAAAATTTGAACAGATCTTCATCACTGAGCCTGTCTCCTTCCTACCAGGAGAAAGGCAAAAATCAGTACCTTTATAACAATACTCCATAACACTGAGATGTGTGAACCATATCGTGATACATGCAAAGCAAGTGGGTTACTGCCTACTTGACAGCAGTTATCCTCTGTCCCCGCCTGAATATCACTGGTAACTTTTTCCAACACAGTTCACATCACATAGATGAAAAATGTCTTAGGTAATCAGAAATAAAGAGTATCCAATACCTGTTTAAAGAAGGTGCTGAGGGTCAGCGAAATTGTTTTGAAGTTTGATGCTGGAGAGTCCTCCGAGCTGAGACTTCTCTCAGAAAGTCTTCTCGCCTGTAGCAGTGCTGTCCTCTTGTCACTAGTAGATCCTTTCCCTTCAAATGGAAATTAAATGAAACATCAACTTGCTTTGTATTGCTTCAGCACAATGACTTTCAGAATAAACTAGAAATCCCCAACTTCCCAGCAACATCAGAGGATAGACAGAGTACCTAAAACATTCCGCTTACTTATTTCTATTTCAGACCGTGTGAAATAGTGGAATGCCAGGACAGACCTAGTGAAGTGACATTATTTCTGCTGCAGAGCACAACCTTATTCATATTCTTAGTTCATGGGTTATAAATGTTGTTGACCAATGGTCCTGTATACTCTAGAAACTAAGATTATATGTATTTTGATTGCCCTGTATTGCAAATGAACTTCATATGGCAAAGGGACTTTTACTTCTACAAAGCCAGTGTTCAATCAAAATTGGGCCTAAGCCATGGAGTAATGTTTAGCATGCATAAAACTAAATATGCAGAGATGAATTTGTGAACATACCAAGTTGTAAAGTGTAGCACTGAAAAGGAAGGCTGAGAAGACATGTTGTTCACTCTCAATGCCAGAGTGAATGACATTGTTTCCTATGCACCATCCTACCAAAGAGTCACTTTGCATTAGTTAGAAATTAGACAACTACCGTTTAAACCTTCAGCCTCGGGTATTTCTCGTTCAAGTGTTGAAAGGTTGAAGAAATTAGTTAGGCTTATGGGAATCCAGGCAAATGGCATTCTGTATTTCCCCAACCGCTGACAAAAGGATTCAGCTTGGGCTTTCAGTTTTTCAATCTTTTCTTTTGTCTAAGACAAAGAAAATAATGACTGTTTAAAAAGCAATCAGCTAATTTAATGCTACTATAGATAAAAAAAGGAAATTACATATTTACAGTTCAGTAAGTAATTTGCATTCTTATCTCTCAGGTTTTCTTGCTACATCGCTGTCAGGATCATAGCTGTTCTGATTTGTACATTCACTTGTCATTTCTTTTCACTAAGTTCATTTTTATTGCAGAAAAGGAGAAGTGTCACTTTTTGCAGTGATCCTCAAGCCCAATATGAACAAGCACCATGAAATGTTTCCAGGTTCTACTTCCTTCATCAGACACAGAAACAATATTCTGCTGAAAGCAATATCCTAAAGGTGAGAGACGTGTGGAAGTCCAGCAAACATTGTCAGTCTGCTCCAGGGAGGTAAATGACCATGAATTCCTTTAACAGAGCTCATGTTATCTATGGATGACAGCACTGAACTGGCCACATACACACTACAACAGGTTGTTTGCCCATCCAAATCAATAACATGTCTCTGAGGAACAAATATTTCTGCTAACTCCACACTGCATTGTCACCTCCTTTGCTCATCCTGTCTGCTTCATGGCTCAAGACTGTCAGTATTGATTCCAAAGGGGTCATTTTCATTACTGAAAGTGTACCTTGCCTTCTCAGGACTTCTTCCCATCGGTTCAGACACCAGACTACTTGCACCATGTATGCATCAACTGGCTTCCTCCCCAATGTTTTTGGGATTCTGTCCTATTTCAAAGGGTCTTCTCTTTCTTTTTTTTTTTTTTTGTGCATGCATTTTTTGATCTAAACACTCTATAGTTATTTGCTTACCTTGCCAGACTCACTTTCTTTAAGAACCATGTAGGGTTCTGCACAGTCTCCGATTTCTCCTTGCTGAAGCACTTTTTCTATCTACAAAAAGCAGTAGAATACGACAGTCACAAAGAAAAAATGTCACCCAAATAGTAACATGTTGCTTCTCTAGCAATATGAAAGAGCCTGCCTGAATGTGCAATACAGAATTCTTAAAACTGTCTTTATGGAGTAACTGATAGTAAATCCTCTCCTACTTTTCCATCTGGTTTGTTAGAAAGCAGAAAATACATATGTGGCAACACTGTCAATCAGGTACTACTGTCTTTTCACTGCAATCAGGAAAATTAACACATTCTAAATGACGTGGTTCAGGCTAACTCAGTTTCAGAATTAAATAAACACAATTAAAGCTAAAAAACCTCCACAGAATGTAATTAATTTTTTTTTTTAAATAGCTTATTTCACTTTACTTTAAATTTCCTTTATGCAGAGATAGAAAATTCTAAATACTTAGTAGGACTACAAGACAGGGTATCAATATAATGTCTTAGCTTGGGAGCGAGATGTACCAGTGGACACCTGCATATATACTATTAAAAACTATCAGAATTCATCTCAGCTACAGGAAACTTATGTTTGTCAGCACCACGAACTCAGATAATAGGCACAGCTGGCAACAGGTGTTGAAGAACGGTGTTGGAAGTAGCACTGTAACATACCTTTATTACTAGGTATATATCCGACGAGGGATAAGTGACAGAAAATACTGCTGATCTTGCCTGAGTAGACAAGTCAATGGAGGGTGTATGAGAACGCAAGAATCCTCTTAATGAATCAGGGTTGAGGTCACAATGAAAATTTTCTGAAATCTTGAAAAGAAAAAGAATTCAAATGTATTGCAAAGGAAGAATGCATCAAATTTTATTTTAAAATAAGTCAAAAGTAATAACTAGAACTACAAAATAGACAATTGCAAGCATGTGACTTTGACTGAACAAAAAGAATCCTGGATCAGACTGCATGTGTGAAAAAGCCGTATGTTTTCAGAAAGTTTTCCAAAATTATTGCTCCAGAGGTAAAAAAACAAGCCAACTGAACAAAAATACTGTATGCATACTTACCTTTTTTCTTTCTTTTATATCATAGAGAGCTATGCATGCAAACAAAGGTTCAATCTCTATATCAAACCTGTTAAGGAAAGACACACAGGATATTTATTAATACTGCATTCTTATGACTGTATAATAAAAAAATAAAAGGGCTATATTTCGACTGGCATTTCCATTAGAAAATAAGGAGACCTCAGCTTTCTCAAAGGCTGGAGGATTTTTTTATTAGTGCATTTTAATAGATGATTTAAAGAGGAAAAGAAGGGAAGTAAACTGCACGCAATGTATTTTCTAAATTTGCCAGAAAGGTCTCAGGTATCAGTGAAAAATGATTGTATCTTTCTTGAATTTTTTTTCTCCTTATCAAGTCTAGTAGTGTGTACAGAGACCAACCTAGTTTGTTGGAAATATATAATTTAGGGTCATTCCCAATTTCTTTTCACCGTGACAAGTTAAACACTTTTGTAATGATGGATCAAAACAGTCCTCTGCTACACTAAGAAAGAATAAGGAAGCATGTAAACACTTGCTGAAAAGGACACCTGCAGTGGTATAGCAGGCTCGGCAGCAGTACACTGGTATGCATTGAGAAATGGTGAGTGAGGCCTGTGAAGGATACTTACTTCAGGGTCTGCAGCTTCACCAAAATCCTGTTGCCCAGATGTTCCTTTGGGCGATCTGGCACCGGCCGTATCTCCACTGCATCTTCCTATCATTAAACAGTTATTCTAGTCATACTCAATTAAAACAACTCTAAATTTACATACTTGCATAAAAACTTTATGTGACGTTAACTAGGCCACTGCTACAGACTACCACCTTCCCCCATTGAGCAGGCATTTCATCTCTTCAGAGATGAAAGAAAATTGATTTAAATTTCTGAATATTCACACTTCTGACCCTCATCTGGCATTTACACCAAATACTTACACTTCTGGCCCCAAGCAAGCGTTACAGCGAAGGGTAATACCCTGACACAACTGTATCACCAGCATGGGGCTTGACCCGCACCAAGGGGGGTGTAACGCAGCCTCAGGCAACACCGCAAGTCCAACCACAAACCCCTGAACGCACGTTCAAGAAAGCTGACAGGAGCCCGCGGTGACGTGCCTTCACCGTGTTACTATCCAAGGGAGACACGTACCCAGGCCACAAACCCTGTTTTTCGGCTCTGGTGCAGCTTTAACCTTAAGCATGCCATGAGAGCCAGCTGGGGAAGGCTCGCGGGCCACTCGGCCTCCCAGCTCACCTCATCCACGGCGGGGTAGAGGGCGAGGAGCTCGGCGTGCCTGTTGGTGCGTCGCGCCTCCTCGTTCTGCCTCTCGAACTCCTCGGCGCTGACGTGCCGCAGCAGGTTTTCCAGGCGGGGGTCCGGCTGCAGGCTGCGCAGGTCGAAGTCGGAGGCGGTGAGGGTCGTCCTCGAGGCCTCCTCGGGGAGTGCATGGATGTGCCGCGGCCCCGCCTGTTGGAAAACAACAAAACAGCGAGATGTGGCTTGGACACCGGGGCGTCATGAAGTGTCTCTTGCCTGTCTGGCAGAGACGGCCTTAACGCCATCTCTGCCATGAGGCCTAATGGCAAGCATGGCTCTCTGCTTGACGCCGTTACAGAGATCCTAGGACGCTTCCTTTGAGGAAAGCTGCTCTATTTGATCGCCTTTCCCCAAGTAAAGAAGATGTACCTGAAAGTTTGCATCACTGGAATCCAATGTTTCTGATTCAAATGTTTGTTTTTGAAGTGTCTTGTGAAAATCTTTTCGGGATCCCTTGTTTTTCAGGCTACAAGTGTCTGAATTCCCTTGGTGCCTTTCACAGAGAAGCCCGAGCAAGTCAGGACAGCATGAGGAGGGGTTAAGGGAAAATAAAACAGAGAAGACATTTAAAAAAAAATCAAGCAACTGGAAACATTATTGTGCAAAAGAGCAGTGTAGCACAGCTCTCATGCAAAAAGGTGACATTCTGTTTTATTGTTTTATCACACTGCTGCAACTCTATCATGTATTAAGAATGGTTTTAAGAGGAAGAAAATTAATTCAGATCACTTTTGCATATACTGTGAGCCTAAGACAGCAGCAAAACCTGACCTAGGTACAAATTCAGCTCTGAGCTCCTCATCAGACACGGTGATTATTTCAACGACCCTAAGAAAATGGATCAGGATCGCTTATCTCTCGGCTGGCTCTTTGCTGCTGCAATTATACATCAAGGAGCTTACTGCTCTTGTCCTGGACCTTGTTGGTATCCCAAGTTAATCACATACAACAATCTATACCTTTCAAACACTGCCTGTTTAGCTACTGCTGTGGCACAATGTAACCCTCTCTCCTGGCAACTTCCCAAAATTTTGCAGCAAGGTACCAATTTCAAGTTATGTTTTTGTGGCAGATGGAAAAAAACAGCAGGTACCCTAAAAAAAGATATCAGACGCTTCCAGAGATCTATTTCTTCCACTTTAGTATGCAATTTGCTAAATCCTGTAATGGCCTTTTTGCAATCAGTCTCCTTAGTTGGAGTGCCCTGCTTCATTCATTTTCCTTTCCATAACACTCCCAAAGCAACGTCTAAACACCTAAGTACTTTCATAAAGATGCCACGATAAGCAATTATTGATCAGGGAGACACCTTTTTATTACATTTTGGGAGTAACTGAATTATATGCTCTGATATGTTTTAATTTTAGTTGTTTGCATTTTAATCATTTACCAGTTCACCGAAAATGAAAACTGAAGTCATAAAGGAGACAATCCCAGCTCTCCTTGGATGTGACCTTGTTTTGGAACTGCCTTAATCATCCAGAATGAAAGACAGAAATTCTGCATAAGTTTACTTTAAGACATTCCAGCATCCAAAAGAAGTTTTGCTGATTATTTTTTCACTGTCTCTGGGGGCAAACAAATGATTAATGGAGAGATTTATGTACCTGAGATCACATTTCCCCTATGGGGTACAAGCTACAGTAGAGATGCCTTTCCTCTAAAGTATTCCTGGAAAATTTATTTAGATTGTTTATTTGTTTTGAAAAGCACGGTAGCAATTAAAACTCACCAAGAGGCAAACCCTGCTTTTACTGCACATGGCAACTTAATGGCCAGACACTGAATTAGGAAAATGGGACAAGGAAAAGGCACAAGGGACAAATGAAGGGAGAAACTGGGAGGCACAGGAACAAGCCTCCCATTCAGCCTCTGGCAAAAAAACATGGACCCCTTAGCTGCATCTAGCCCCTCTGTCACATATTTGTCTGCCCTGGGGCACAAGGACCACCTCTGCTCATGCCACCCACTAAAGACTCTTCAATCTCCTGTTCTGAACCTTCACATCCATGAATGGATGGAAGTCACTTACATACTCCTCTCATCCATAGCTTACCAGATCCTTATGTTCAGCAACCTGTCCTATGAATCTTTGTCTCCAAAGTAGGGAACTACAGTTTTTCCAGCTTTTCTCAAAACAACAGAAAGCTTTCTGTAACTACTTTTTCTCACTCCTCTCTTGATGTCTTCCTTTCATATCTGTTTTGAGAATAGTGTCCAAGCGTAACTTGAGACTCCCAGTAACAATCTATCACTGGTTTATGTGACACTGTAGCATCTTTTGCACTGTCTTGTTCTTCGCAATTTTTAATAACTTGCTTGCTTTGTCAGCTACAGCCAAAGCTCAGCTCTCTGGCAGGGCCCTTCATCACGTTAACCGCAGACTCAACTGCTCAATAAAGTTTTTGAATGCAAATTTGCCTTATCTGAATGAATGAAATAGTACAACACGACAAGTCTTTTCTCAAATGTGTATTTCTACTCCTCCTTTCGTATTTCTACAAGCACATGTAAGTGCAAAAATAGCTATGTTCTATTTTTCACCTCACCTGCTTTACTGCTTTCTCCCTACTTGCGGGCACAAAGCTGCATGCTGGCTCTTTACTGTGCACTCAGACCAACGCTGTGTGAAAGAGCTAGCGCCTGTGCCCTGAGGGGTGCAGGTGGAGAGCCTGCAAAACCCGCTAGCTTATTTTTAGTGACTCACTGTGGAACAGTTCTGAGAACTCAATCAACTTCATCAGCACCCCCAGAGGAAGTCTCTTAATAACCGTCAGCTGGGGGGGCTGGTGGCTGCTCTGTCCCTGCACAAGCTGCAGAGTTAAACAATGCAATTCCTTTACAATCACCAGGAGTCAACCCGTAATGCACTGACTGCTGATGCACATCACATCAGAAAAACAGAGAGTAGCAAGGATGGGCGAAGGGGCACAATGAAATGGCAGCAAATGTGTCAGCGCTCGGCCATCGGCTGCTACTACTGCTTCTCAAGAAAAGGGCATGAGCGCAGGAGGTGATGAACAGGAAGCGGTGCAGCAAAACGGAGCTCCAAAAACCTCTTTCTGAAGAACAAGAGGGGGTGATGGGGAAGGAGGTGAGCTCCACTGACACAGCACATCCCTGAGAGTCTGGGGACAGTCACCCCTGCACAGAAAGCACTGACTGAGAGTTCCCTTCATGTTTAACACATGAAATGGAATGGAATAATAAAATTAAACTAAAATAATTAAACTAAACTAAACTAAAAGAAATTAAGTCACCTTAATTGCCACCTGTAATGACTATGGGTCCAATTCTGTGTATTGAACTACACAAATGCAGAAATCACTTACAGATGTAAAATAGTAAATATGGATGTTACACTAATAATCCCATGAATACAAATCAATTGCTCCTGGGAAAGCCCATAATACTCAGTTTTTTGCTACTAGCACTCCGTTTCATTTTCAGACACCATTAAAGACCAGATCATGTTGAATTTTTAGGGCATGGAGAGGAAAATTAAGAGCATACAAATGTAATCTTTATCCCTGTTAGCTTGCCCTTCAGTGTAATCAAATAGTAGTAGTATTCCTGATTTAGATAAATCATCATTACGGACAGTTGATGTGAATTTCTTCCCAATTAATTCCCAGAGTGCCTGATAATTAAGAAGTAGATGCAACAATATTTAGCTATAGCCCACCAGCTCAAACAAAATAATATAGTTATATATACTACTGAAAAGTCAGTTCTTGTCTTCAGTCCCTGATTTAAATCATTGTTCTTTAGGATTACTTATAACAGCATGCATCTTCTCTCTGACAAATAAGATGCAAGGTATCTTCTGTTTTATTTACTTGTATGTAGCTTACTTTCGATTCACGATCAGCCACTCCCGGATATAAGTCTGAACACAGTCTCTGACATGTGAGTCCAGTTCAACCCTGGTGAAAAAGCAATATATTGTAAATATTTTAGTACCTCGGTCATACCTTAAGAACAAAGAAATTTATCTAAACATGCTACTCAGATAAAGGCCTCTCTATCAGTCCCCTCCTGTATATGCATTTTACTGCTAAACTATTCCTTGACATTTAAAAATTCTGTGTACTGCATGAATTCCCTGATGTAGGTTTTTGTTACTGTGTTTATAAATTAACAAACATACATATAACAGAGATAACCATTTGCCACACTATACATTTCATGAATCTAAGACCAACGTTGCTATAAAATACAGCAAAATAAAAGAAATTATGCCAGGTACTCATCTTTGTGATTTTCAGAACTTGATAATAAGTCATCACATATGAAGGTATTTTTCCAGAGGCCTGTTGCAAATACATAGTTTCTTGTATGTTTTTGGTGTAATTTTCTCTTTCTCAAAGAAATGAAGAAAATTCTGAAAAGGGACCCTAAGCTTTTAATCAGATAGCATAATAAAACATTAAGATCTAAGAATCTGTTATAATTTAATTTTATGATTTTCAAGTAAGTCTTATTTAATGTCGGGGGTTGTCAGTGCTGATCAGAATTGAAACATTATAAACTCAAGTAGATGTCCGTGAATTTGCTGCCATGATGCTATAGCATAATTCCCCTACCCCTATTCTAAAAAATTTTAGTGACCTGTGCCAAAATCACTTGTTACAACCTCCGATCCTGAAGTGAATAGAAGAGTACAACACACATGCAATGCAGGAATGAATGGGTGGAAGATTCAGATTCAGATTCAAATGGGTGGAAGGTATGATCTTTTTAGCACTTTCCACCCAGAACTCTGGTTGGTTGGCAGTATCTGTTTCCTGATCTCGGTGCAGGAAGACACCACAAACTGCATCGCTTGCAGGTGAATCTTTGAGCATGCCTCTCCTGTGCTCTCACCTTCCCTAACACACCCTGGCATCCTCGACCAGGACTTTCTGTGAAAGTGCTAATATCAATAACCGGGGTGTGAACAGCTGAATGGGAAGCTGCTGTGTAAAAAAATCTGCTGAAAGTGTATTTGCTGGTATTGACTATTTGAGCTCTGCCACAGACGCCTTACAAAACCCTTAATGTCACTGCGGTGCAAATCAGGCCCAAACCTGATTGTACAGCACGAGTCTACACATTCTGCTACTGAAAAAACAAATAGGTAACTGCTGTTTTAAACAGCAGGCATGCTGGGAAATAACCTTGTAAATAGTGGAGAAATGGTCATTCTATATTTTAAATTTCATTTCAAAGTTGGATAATTTTTCACTATTTTTGTCCATACTTTAAATAAATGGGAACTTCAAGCACCAAAGTATTCACTGTCTCTCATATCCATGCTCTCTCTCCCCAATCCACAAGAAAACAAGAATTCATTATAAAGATTGAAACATTTTCTATGAGCAACTTCAAGTGAAAATCACATCTTGTGCAAATGTTACAGAATCATGTAGGAGCTGTATGCTTCAAAGGATTCTCAGGTGACGAAGCATGGCACCTCTTCTACCCGCTTTGCTCTCCTGAACTTCTTGAAAGATGCACTTGGCCAAGAAAGAACTTGCAGGCTGAGACCTTGCTTAGAGAGAGGGTTGTCAGCTAGTCCACAGCGGGCAAAAATCACATGAACTGTGGCTCCTGCCTAGCCTCATTGCATTTGGTATGTTGGGCAGAAAACACTGAACACTGTTGCTCTATAGGGCTCTAATTTATATAGCTGGCTGGTATAAATTAGAGCAGACTGTAACAACTCTTGCATGAAGAGAGCGGGATGCAGGTCTACCCTGCAAGCCAGGACACCATAAGCTAAGTCTATTTGCTCCTTCAGCATTCCGGTTCAGC